AAGCAAAGTTTGCAGTACCTGCTTGACATGCTTATGGTGAGTCTGGAAGTCGGGAGAATAAATAAGGATATCATCCAATTATACTTCAACAAAAAAATAAATATAGACTCTGAGCACGTCATTAATAAAGTCCTTAAATATGGCCGGAGCATTGCATAAACCGAAGGGCCTACTTCTAGTGTTAAATGCCGTTTTCCACTCATGGTCTTCCTTGATTCTTACCAAATTGTACGCACTGCTAAGGTCAAGTTTAGTAAATATCTTACCACCCTGGAGTCTGTCAAACAATTTGGAGATAAGGGGAATAGGATTGGCATTTTTTATGGTGATCTTGTTTAATGCCCTGTAGTCGATGCATGGCTGTAATTCTCCATCTTTTTTGGATACAGGCGAGGATGACTTACATATGTGACCTTTAATAAATAATCTTTGATGTACTCTTCCGTGATTCTACTCTCCTGTGGGGATAAGGCATATACTGCCCCCCCTAGGGGGCATAGCACCGGGTAGCAGATCTATGGAACAATCATATGATTTGTGAGGAGGTAGAATATTAATCTGACTCTTACTAAATGCCTCTTTAACTTCCCAGTACTGTATGGAAATTTCGGAGGTCTGAGGTATAGCAGTAGGCAGAGTGACGATGCCCATTCTCTTCATAATGGGTAACATGCATCTCTCAATACAGTCTTTACCCCATTCCAGTATTTCCCCCTTAGCCCAGTCAATATGAGGGTTGTGCTTGATGAACCATGGAAATCCTAATATGATGGGACAAGAAGGGGGAGCAACTATCTGAAATGTTATGCTTTCCTTGTGTAAAGCTCCTATATTAATGCTAATATGCATGGTTTTGTGGGTAATCAGGGATTGAGAGAGAGGTCTTCCGTCAACAGCCTCAATGGCTAGAGGTGATGATCTCTCCTTGATAGGTATGAAGTGTTTTTTAACATAATGCATGTCAATAAAGTTTCCCGCCACACCTGAGTCCATCAGGGCTTTGCAGGAAAAGCTTTTCTTGTTGCAAAGGGTGGTGATGTCAATGTGGAATCTACTTTGGTTATTACCAGAGGACGTATCCACCACACTTAATACCTGTCTACTTTAGGTTCTTAGGTGCAGAAGTTTGGGACAAGCATCTCTCATATGTCCTTTTTTGCCATAGTACAAACAAAGACCCTCTTTTCTCCTATACTGTTTCTCTGCGTCTGACAGTCTAGTAACCCATAACTGCATAAGTTCAGGTTCAGACTGAACAGAGAGGCCAGGGACAACAGGTTTGGAGAAATGAGGAGCCAAAGGCATAGCCACATATCTGGTTCTATTTCTGGTAATTTCCCTGGTCCTAAGTCTGTTATCGATCTGCATCACATATGTGATTAATTCATTTAACTTCTTTAGAGCTTTGAAATGAATACATATGATACCGCACTCAATTGTAGATATAAAGTAAAATATATGTTTATTATTCTGTCTATTAAAAGTCATATATATCTTAAATTCAGTGAAAATATATAAGTATAACAAAAAACTAATTATTGCATAAAGTTATATCTTTTGTGGACTCAACAATGCAACACCTTAGGAGATATGCCCTAACAAAAAAAGGAATAAAATATCCCTAATTGATATACCACCTTAATAACCAGTATTGTAGTGTAAATAGATGCTATGTGAGTAAAAAGCCCTATCTGCAATCAACAATAATAGTCTGGACATGAAAAAAAAAGAAAAAAAAGAAAAAATATTGAAAAAATTAAAAAAATTAAAAACAGAAAAAAAAACATGAAAAATTGAAAAAAATTATATACAGTCCCAGTGTGTACACACTCAAAGGTTCCAAAACAAACTCTTGTAAGTGGATGCTATTGAATTGATCTCACCACTCCTGAGTCCTGAATATAGCAGGCTTGCTGAGTTATGAAGTTGTGGCTTGTCCCAATAAGTATGAATTAGATTGCTCCTGTATGTGTACAGATGATTGCAGATGCTGTCCAGTTCAGTCTCTGGTTGCCTCTGGTTACCTTGGGTCCTGGTTATCAATAGGGTGCCTGGGCTGCGCGCTCGGGACTACGTCCATCCCTTCGAAGGCCTGGTGAATAAAAATAAAAGCGGCTATGTATTGCCCCTAATTGGCATCTCCATGGGTTGCGCCCTTTGTACGTCATACCTAGTGCATTCTCATGCGCATGCATGCTTGTTCAATTCAATTTCCGGGTTAGTGTGCACTTTACATATTTCCGTGTCCATTGACTCTCCTGTAATGATATATTCTTCTTCTTTTGCCAAGAGCATCACAATAACGTTATTGTCTAACTGACAATTTAAACAGATAGGGTCACAACAACCTTATTGTCTAACTGACAAACAGTAGTGACAATAGTGATGTTTCTCAGTATGTCATAATCATTATACAGTTGCAAGAAAAAGTATGTGAACCCTTTGGAGTGATGTGGATTTCTGCACAAATTGGTCATAAAATGTGATCTGATCATCATCTAAGTCACAACAATATACAATCACAGTCTGTTTAAACTAATAACACACAAAGAATGAAATGTTGCCATGTTTTTATTGAACACACCATGCAAACATTCACAGTGCAGGTGGAAAAAGTATGTGAACCCCTAGACTAATGACATGTCCAAGAGCTAATTGGAGTGAGATTTCAGTCAACTGGAGTCCAATCAATGAGATGAGATTGGAGGTGTTGGTTACAGCTGCCCTGCCCTATAAAAAACACACACCAGTTCTGGGTTTGCTTTTCACAAGAAGCATTGCCTGATGTGAATGATGCCTCGCACAAAAGAGTTCTCAGAAGACCTACAATTAAGAATTGTTGACTTGCATAAAGCTGGAAAGGGTTATAAAAGTATCTCCAAAAGCATTGCTGTTCATCAGTCCACGGTAAGACAAATTGTCTATAAATGGCGAAAGTTCAGCACTGCTGCTACTCTCCCTAGGAGTGGCCGTCCTGTAAAGATGACTGCAAGAGCACAGCGCAGACTGCTCAGTGAGGTGAAGAAGAATCCTAGAGTGTCAGCTAAAGACTTACAAAGTCACTGGCAAATGCTAACATCCCTGTTAGCGAATCTACAATACGTAAAACACTAAACAAGAATGGATTTCATGGGAGGATACCACAGAGGAAGCCACTGCTGTCCAAACAAAACATTGCTGCACGTTTACAGTTTGCACAAGAGCACCTGGATGTTCCACAGCAGTACTGGCAAAATATCCTGTGGACAGATGAAACCAAAGTTGAGTTGTTTGGAAGAAACACACAACACTATGTGTGGCCAAAAAAAAGGCACAACACACCAACATCAAAACCTCATCCCAACTGTGAAGTATGGTGGTGGGGGCATCATGGTTTGGAGCTGCTTTGCTGCGTCAGGGCCTGGACGGATTGCTATCATCGAAGGAAAAATAAATTCCCAAGTTTATCAAGACATTTTGCAGGAGAACTTAAGGCCATCTGTCTACCAGCTGAAGCTCAGCAGAAGATGGGTGTTGCAACAGGACAATGACCCAAAGCATAGAAGTAAATCAACAACAGAATGGCTTAAACAGAAGAAAATATACCTTCTGAAGTGGCCCAGTCAGAGTCCTGACCTCAACCCGATTGAGATGCTGTGGCATGACCTCAAGAAAGCGATTCACACCAGACATCCCAAGAATATTGCTGAACTGAAACAGTTCTGTAAAGATGAATGGTCAAGAATTACTCCTGACCGTTGTGCACGTCTGATCTGCAACTACAGGAAATGTTTGCTTGAAGTTATTGCTGCCAAAGGAGATTCAACCAGTTATTAAATCCAAGGGTTCACATACTTTTTCCACCTGCACTGTGAATGTTTACATGGTGTGTTCAATAAAAACATGGCAACATTTCATTCTTTGTGTGTTATTAGTTTAAGCAGACTGTGAACTATTGTTGTGACTTAGATGATGATCAGATCACATTTTATGACCAATTTGTGCAGAAATCCATATCATTCCAAAGGGTTCACATACTTTTTCTTGCAACTGTATGTAGTAAATAAAGCTTTCTTATTAGTGATAATATATATTAAAGTGCAAACTCTTTCACTATATCACTTAGTGATATTGCAATTTCCACCAACAATACTTAGTAATATTTAATTAAACACCAAGTGGACAGATTCAGGACAGATTGTGGACAGTTTCAGCTTGTTTTTATGATGATTGATTCTTACCTATGTGTAAGTAATACATGCTTTTTATACTTTATGCACATCTTTCTACATTTCATTCTGGATATACTTTATTTTCCATGTAATTGAGATCTGGAAGACCAGACATTGGAAGCAGAGAACTAACTGAAAGCTACACTGATTTCTGATACACCCTGTTTTAACAGTGAACGTTTGGATTTACCCTGTGACAGACCCATCTGTATAACTATTATTGCTGGTTCGTCTAGTTTGCTTTCCTTTCGTGGAATTGCCTGTCCGTATACTCCTATTCGTATGTTTGACTTTTTACCGAATGAACTTACCGAACGGACGGCCACCCAGAAGAGAAGTGTGCTGCTGGTTAACCTCTTGATCCCAATTAGAACGTTGTGGTTAACCGCAGACACCTCTTAATTATAACTGAATGCAGGGTGATCGTCATTCGTATGTCGACCACGAGGCGGCGGCCATTTTAAACCATGCGAAACACCAGCGGTGTTCGGCGCAGATTCTATGGAACTAAAAACTGACACTTTTTCTGCCGAACAGCACTGAAACCATAGACCGCCCTTCTCAGTCAACAAGGCATGCGAACACCGGCCGTTTGGGAGTTTGGATTACACGAATGGACTTAACCCAGATAGCCATCCCATGGAGTCAATCGCATACCGAAAGACTGTAAAAGACTTTGACTCCATGGCGATTGAACTGTGCGTATTCGCTAAGAATATGCACTCAGATCCAGGCTATCTGGGGATACGTTGCACGAATGTAATATGTTCGGTAGTTGTGTAATTATTTATTTTCATGTGTTTTTTGTGTTTTACTTAAAATGGCAATTTGCCTCTGTCCTGGGAGATAATTGAATTACTTCTCAATTATCTCCAGGGCAGAGGGGAGGAAACCGGGATGCATTATGGGAATATTTTATACCTGTATGTCTTAAAGTGCCATATGTCTGTCTGTCATTACAGTCTCCCATTTGGTCCCCTAGGGGAGTATCCACCAAGTGGGAGACCTGCATACATACGGGCGGGTAGCCCACAGTAAAGCCAGTTCTTGTTTTACCCTCAATGCGGAGCTTGGTCTCGTTATTGGGGGGATTTACTACACACGGTTAGCGACTGATTGCTGGAACCATAAGCCGCTTGGAGGATATATTTGTTCGGCTGTTAGCCGTAATTTGTGGATTTATTGTTCGGGAGCTTGAAGCATCCGTACGGGTCCCGTTCGGGAGATTGGCGCATTCCCCTGGTTGCAGTTCATACAGTGGAAGTATATACGAATGGAGCTTGCATTATTGCGAAAGGGGAAGCTCAACTAAACGGCGGTTTCACTCCTGTGTGCCTGGGGTGTCTTAACAGACCCTAATATTTGTATCTATTTATAAGTGATAATGTTACCTTGTGTATGCAATTTTCGTTAAAGCTCAGCATCTTTATGAATTACTATGAACTATATTGCTATGTGAATAGAAAGTAGTTAGCCGAGTGATGGATCTCAAAGAATCGAAGGGAACAGATGAGGGGGTAACCCTAAAGGAAGGTGCAATCGAAAAGGGAGGAAAGTCTGTCCCCAATAGTAATGTAGAAAAACAAATAAATAGCTCGGGGTGCTTCTAAAATTCTCGAAGATACTTTATTGTACATACCAAGACCGAACAATTAGCAAAGAAAAATAAACAAATAAATAAATAACCCTAGACTACGGCTACCTGACTAAATAAGTCAATTACAGTAGTTTACGCAGAGAGCACACATACAAGGAGTAGGGGATAACATATAAGGGTAAACAAGAACTGAGTATCTGTGGCAGTTCAGCACAGTACATCGGGTACATTAAAAAAATATCAACATTGATATGGTGTCTCTAGTAATGTATCGAAAGTGCATGCGTACTGAAGAGTATCCAAATTGTAACTAGAAGTATAATATAACAGTAAATGGGCAACCTGCCCAGACTCAGTGTATACTTGACAATTCAAGCTAAGGAGAATAAGTTAGGTAAAAAGAATGCTCAATCGGCAATATTGCTAAATAGTGATGATAAACCTGACTACCTAGTAGTTTTAAAGTTCATTGGATTATAAAGGCAATTTCACAAGTCAACACTGGAAAACAACCTCTCATTAATGTGCTGACAGGTTAGAAGAAGACAAGTATTAGCTGATAACAAAGTCCAACAGCTTCTAATTAGGATGTAATAGAAAGAACCCTAATTCTAAGACAATATGTCCATAGTTCTACAGTGTGTCCGAATATTCGCAGCAAGGATAATTTACACAATTGGGAAGCAGTCCACCCAAACTCCCTGTGAAGTTAACAATTCCAGTTGAGGGGAGTAAAGTGAATAAAGAATTGCTCCAGTCAGCATGTGGCTAGGGAGACAAAACTAACTCGGCTGCCTGGTAGTGATAGGGTTCTTCTATATAAAAATAAATCATGTAATAAATTAATCCTATGGACTAGCCTCACAGCTGCATATTACTGTAGAGAGCAGAGAGTAAGGTAACTGGAATGGTGCCTTCGTGGGCACCTTGTATAGAAAGACAGTGTGAAAATAAAGGGTCTTGACAGATACAGGAGAAACTAAGCTGTTACTACTAAACAAATCCTGCTGATTCTAATTAGCTATGAAATCAAGACAACCCTGATCTGCCCTTGTCCCCCTTTCGCTCTCTTTTCTCATATTCATGTTTGTATAGGTTCCTGTTTGCCTGCCTTTATATTAGTGGGGTGATTTATGTATTACACATATTTTGTGTTGCCTTATTGTATTTTTGCAGCTTAGGTGTCCTAATTTTTGACATTTTTTCTAGTATAAATGCTAGAGTCTCTTTTTTTGTTTTTTTGTTAAAGGGACATTCCTTTGCTGCTATTAAATACAACTAGCAGTGGCGTACATAGGGTATATATGGGTATTTCTATTTATTCCCCATCACCCTTTTATCCACTTACAAGTACAGCCGCCTGTTCTTCTCTATTTGCCACCTGGAAACTATACTATTTATTCTGTTAAATTCAGCAGCTACTTCTGGGATCCCCTTGTTTCAAGGGTCTCTGTCATTCAACTATATTCCTTTCTGGGTTACCCTCTATATTGTAGCTCTGAGGTAGGCTCTTTTTAAGACAGTTCTCACCAATTCACATATTTTTGTGATTATAGGCATCTGTCTTTTCATTCCTTTTGAGATTTATTGTTGATAGTGTGTCTCTTATCATATCTTACTATAATAACAGCAACGGCCATATTGATACATATCTATGGTGGTCAATTCATACCATAAAGATTACAGACCAATGTGGTTCTAATAAAAAGCATAAAACAAAAGAAATGAGATGTAAAGAGTAACGGTTTCTTGCTGAAGTTACCGTAAAGTATCAGAAAAAATGTCAAAAAGTCAAGATAGACTGAATGGTGCCTGCAGACTGATATAATAGTCACTGTCTGATATTGTGATATGATATGTTATTATTGTATAGTCTATTATACACCGAACACTTATTCAATATTTTGTACCACGTTTCACAATGATCTGGGTTATCTTTCCCAAGTGTGGGGTGCAGTCTAACCCTTAAACCCTGTGGGATTTGTTTTTGCCTTAAATATTCTCCCATGCTGTTGACATGAAGCTCCCAACTAACCTTCTTCTTTAATTCTCTCTCTAATTTTGTTGCTATATTTCTCTCACTATCATTGGTCAAAAAAATCTCTTACTCCTCTCAGTGCTCAAGTGATGCAACTGATATCTCCCTCAGTGTATGCAAAAGTTGCCATAGATAATATTACAAAGATATTCTTATATGAGGACACACTATATGTCCAACAAGAAACTAATATGATTAAGTATCAAATGGATACTGGTGTACTGTGCGCCAACTGGAACTTCTACACAAGTTTTCTAAACTAACATGTAATTCCATTTTTTCAGTATATGATTTTGACCAAGGACCGTCTGTCTCTCAAATTCTCCATATGCCTCTAGCCATGTTGACCTTACACGGTCCGATACCCGACTAGAGACAGGGTCCACATTAGAGGATACCACACACCCTTTCCCACGCAACACCACTGGTGAGTATGCCCTTACTGAATATCCATAAGAATGAAGGGAATATCCATAAGTGGGAAGTGTACCCTTGATTGTCTTTGTACTCTGTAGTGAGCAATCTATAATAACCAACTTTTACAATATAGCACTATACAGCGCGTCCAGCAGATGTTCCTTTAGCTGGTCTTAGATACATGGACTGTATATACATAGGGTTTTCACAGTACGAACATTCACTAATTCATAGGTACCAATGCAATTATAAGATATTATTCATTTAACATCATTACATCTTATTCTGAAGGTGTCTAATATAATCACAGTGTCTTTTTACACAATCAGTGTGATTTATTAATATCAGAGTTTATTTATAAATAGTCCAATAACATACAGGTTATTTTCTATACAATCATTTTTGACCCCTATAGATCTATATGCCTGTATTTTAATCTTCTTCCCATATTCTCTACTTTTCGATTAAAACATTTTTTGATGGTGTTTTATTAATTTTCACCTAACTCACATAGCAATATAGTTCCTTTGGTAGTAATTCATAAAGATGCTGAACTTTAACAAAAATTGCATACACAAGGTAACATTACCACTTCTAAGAAAGCTTTATTTACTACATAACAGTTTGTAATATAATGATTATGACATACTGGGAAACATTACTATACGACCTGGTTGTCAGTTAGACAATAAGGTTGTTGTGACCCTATCTGTTTAAATTGTCAATTAGCCAATAAAGTTATTGTGATGCTCTTGGCAAAAGAAGAGGAATACGCCATTACAGGAGAGTCAATGGACACGGAAATATGTAAAGTGCACTCTAACCTGGAAATCGAATTGAACGAGCGTGCATGCGCATGAGAACGCACTCTGTATGACATACAAAGGGCGTGACTCGTGGAGATGGGGGGGCGCTCCAATTAGAGGAAATACATAGCTGCTTTTATTTTTATTCACTAGGGCCTTTGAAGGGATGGATGTAGTCCCGAGCGCGCAGCCCAGGCACCCTATTGATAATCAGGACCCGAGGTAACCAGAGGCAACCAGAGACTGAACTGGACAGCATCTGCAATCATCTGTACACATGCAGGAGCAATCTAATTCATACTTATTGGAACAAACCACAACTTCATAATTCAGCAAGTCTGCTATATTCAGGACTCAGGAGTGGTGAGATCAATCCAATAGCAACCACTTACAAGAGTTTGTTCTGGAACCTTTGAGTGTGTACACACTGGGACTGTATATACATTTTTTCAATTTTTCATGTTTTTTAATTTTATTTTTCTTTTTTCATTTTTCAATATTTTTCTTTTTTTCATGTCCAGACTATTATTGTTGATTGCAGATAGGGCTTTTTACCCACATATTTACACTACAATACTAAAGGAATATCAGAAGAGTAAACAATTTATGAACAAAAAAATTCAAAATGCTAATGAAAAAGCAACAGAGGCTTCTTACAAAGTAAGTTACCGCATAACACTTACAGGAGAAGCACACACAATTGGGGAATCACTAAAAACCATTTGCAAAATAAAAAGTGCCATGTATTTTATGTGAGAAGTTGAGTAAAAAATATTGAACCTGTGCCACTTTCAAACAACACAGTTTTGCGCTGTATTCATGATCTTGCTGATGGCATCCATACTAAACTAATTTCTCAACTGCATCAATGTGATGGGTACTCACTGCAATTAGACGAGTCCACAGATGTTGAAGGACTTTCAATTTTGTTGGACTTGCTTCTGTGTGAACGTTTAAAACTCTTACCACTGGGTACACCTGAAAACATCTTTAACCCCTTAAGGACGGAGCCAAATGTACACGTTGTTAACAAAACAAAATGTAAACAAAACCTGGCATTTGCGCTACATGTCTGTCCAACCGTAATTCACCTCTTTCATAGTAAATGCACCCACCCTTATTATATATCATTTTATTCAGGGGAAACAGGGCTTTCATTTAATATCAAATATTTAGCTATGAAACATAATTTAATATGAAAAAAATGGGAGAAAATAAGATTTTTTAAAAAATTTTTAGTTCTACATGACATTTTAACGGTCAATGTCATAATACTGTTTGCTTTTACTGCAATAAAATACACATATTTGTATTCAGTAAAGTCTCACGTGTAAGACAGTACCCCCTATGTACAGGTTTTATGGCGTTTTGGGAAGTTACAGGGTCAAATATAGCACGTTACATTTGAAATTGAAATTCGCCAGATTGGTTACGTTGCCTTTGAGACTGTATAGTAGCCCAGGAATGAAATTTACACCCATAATGGCATACCATTTGCAATAGTAGACAACCCAAGGTATTGCAAATGGGGTATGTCCAGTCTTTTTTAGTAGCCATTTGGTCACAAACACTGGCCAAAGTTAGCGTTAGTATTTGTTTGTGTGTGAAAAATGCAAAAAACGCCAATTTTGGCCAGTGTTTGTGACTAAGTGGCTACTAAAAAAGACTGGACATACCCTGTTTGCAATACCTTGGGTTGTCTACTATTGCAAATGGTATGCCATCATAGGGGTCATTTTCATTCTTGGGCTACCATAGGGTCTCAAAGGCAATGTAACCAATCTGGCGAATTTTAATGTGAAAAAAATGAAACGCAAGCCTTATATTTGACGCTGTAAGTTTTGAAAACACCATAAAACCTGTACATGAGGGGTACTGTTGTACTCGGGAGACTTCGCTGAACACAAATATTTGTGTTTCAAAACAGTAAAAAGTATCACAGCAATAATATTGTCCGTGTAATGCTGTTTGTGCGTGAAAAATGCAAAAAACTTCACTTTTACTGGCGATATCATCGTTGTAATACATTTTACTGTTTTGAAACACTAATATTTGTGTTCAGCGAAGTCTCCCGAGTAGAACAGTACCTCCCATGTACAGGTTTTATGGTGTCTCGGAAAGTTATAGGGTTAAATATAGTGCTAGCAAATTAAATTCCCTTTACTTTCGGCATGGGTTGTCAGGCAGGTCCTGCTAATTGTAATTAATTAAGATACCTAATTATGTAAAAATATTACATAAATATATATGTAGAATTAATATATGTATATATATATACGTATGTGTATATATATGTATATATCTATATAATTTAAAAAAAATATTTTTATTTATATATAGGTATATATATAGTGATATATATGTATATATTTATGTATATAGATATATATATTATTTCGTTCTACGTGTATTTTGATATATATATATATATATATTAATTTCACAATACAGTTAGAACGAAATAACACACATCTATATATTTTTTAATTATTTATTTTTAATTATTTTTTTAATTTTATTTTTTAACGTATTTACATTTTAATTTTTTTTATAATATATATAAATATATATATATAACAATAATTATATATATATATTTAATCAGTATCAGTCTACGTGTAATTTGATATTAATAATCATATATATATATTAATAGTAAAATACACCTAGACGGTGTACATGTGTGTATGTATATGTGATCTAAGTATATATAATTTTTTTTTTTTACACTGATTAACTTATTTTACTTTTATTTTCAGCCAGCAGGGGGACCACCTGTAATTACAGGCAGCCCCCCTGCTGGCAATACAGAAGCCAGCTATCCCCGGCCATGTGATTGTGGGGTCCTCGTTAGGACCCCACTCTCACACGGCCGGGGGGCTTCCTGGAGGATGGACGTGCCGCGGGGGGCTCCCTGGGAGTACCCCCCACCGCGATCACCGGCGTGGGACCGCCGGCAACCGGTTAAGTACCGAAAGACCGGAGGGCGTACTATTACGCCCAGCGGCGTTTAGAGCCGCCTATTAGAGGGCGTAATAGTACGCCCTCCGGTCTAAAGGGGTTAACTGTATCCAGAAGTTTATGAACAAACACAGTATAAATTGGGACAAATGTGTAGATGTGTGCAGTAATGGTGCCAAAGCAATGGTTTGGAAAGTGGCAGGTGCTGTTACATGAATAAGAAATGTAGCAAAAAGCAGCACCAGTTCTCACTGTGTTCTTCACAGACATGCACTGGTAGCTAAAAATATTTCAATCTCACTTAAAACTGTGCTAGATGAATCGGTCCAGATTATTAATTTTATAAAAAGTCAACCATTACAGTCACGACTATTTAAAATTATATGTGAAGATATGGGTGGTCACCACTCTGCTCTGCTTTTGCATTCAGAAGTTCGTTGGCTACCACGAGGTAAAGTCCTTGTTAGAATGTTTGAATTGTGAATTGTGTCAAGTTGTTTGCATATTTCCAGGGTCATAAATTTGGATTATCTGATCGATTAACAAACACTTTGTGGTTATCCAAATTAGCATATCCTGCAGACATATTCTCAATATTAAATGATGTAAGTTTATCACTTCAAGGAAAAAACACTAAAATTTTTAATGCAAGAGATAAAATATTTTCACTGTCTCGTAAAGTGCAGCTTTGGACCTCATCTGTTGAGCAACATAATTTGAACTCTTTGTCAACACTTAAGGATTTTCTTGAAGAATCAGAAATTGAACTTGAAGATGAAATTTGAAATGAAATTGTAGATCATCTTCACCATTTATCACATCAATTAATCAGTATTTTCCATTCTTGAATGAAAACAATAATGACTGGGTTCGAAATCCATTCATAAAACACAAGCCAGCCAATTTTTCTGATGTAGATTTTGAGAATCTGATCGATACAACTTCTGACAGTCAACTAAGCCAAAAATGTAAAGAAGTTTCTCTTATTGCTTTTTGGTGTGATTTACGCAAAGAATACCCAGAATTGTCAATGTTCTGTTGCCATTCGCCAGCACATACTTATGTGAAATAGGATTCTCCCTTTACTCTGAAACAAAACAAAGAATCGAAATCGACTTGACACAACTGCAGACATGCGAATACAGTTGTGAACAATTAAAACAGATGTAAAAAGAATTTGTCAGAAATTCATTTCAATTCAAACTCATTGAAAGGTTTGCGCTGCGCTGCTCTTCTCTATGGCACACATTTTTTTGGTGGTGTTTCCAAAGTTTTGCTATGCCATGTCAAAGGGTTCCAAGGGAAAAATTAATTGATCTAGACCGATTTCTTTTTATTTGAACATTAACCTATTGTAAGGAACCGTATCAAATGCCTTGGCAAAATCCAAGTAGATCACATCCACTGCAACGATCTATACTTCTACGTACTTCTTCGTAGAATGCAATTAGGTTAGTTTGACATGACCTGTGTTTCATATAACCATGCTAATTATTGCTAATAACAAAGTTCTTCCCAATGAATTCCTGAATATTATCCATTAATAGTGATGCCGCGAACGGTTCACCACGGTTCGCCACAAACCGTTCGCAGCGAACTCCAGTCAGCTGACACATCCCTGCCAATCTCCGGCAGACCCTCCCTCCCAGACCCTTCTACTTCCTGGACAGCATCCATGTTGAAGGCAGCTTCAACATGGATGCTGTCCAGGAGGTGGGAGGGTCTGGGAGGGAGGGTCTGACGGAGATTGGCAGGGATGTGTCAGCTGACCGGAGTTCGCCATGAACGGTTCGTGGCGAACCGTTCGCGGCAAGTTCGCGAACGGTTCGCGACATCACTATCCATTAATAGCACTTCAAATACTTTCCAAGTCACAGAAGCCAAGCTCACAGGTCTATAATTTCCAGGCAATGATTTTGAACACTTTTTAAATATAGGAATGACATCTGCCTTCCTCCAGTCCTCCGGTACAATTTCTGAAAGAAAAGAATCTTGAAAGAGAGGTGAGACCTAAAGAACAGAGATGGAGATGAAACAGTTATATGAAGGTATCTACAGCCAGGAGGAACAAAGAGAAAGAGAGAGGGTGAGGGTAGAGTAAACAATTGATGTATTCCATTGAAAAGTTTACCTACAAAATTCTAACACCCACAATATTAATAACCGTGTACATGAAATATTGGTGAAATACATTAAATGATAATAATTTTGTTGCCAACGGTTTAGACATTAATGGCTGTGTGTTGAGTTATTTTGAGGAGACAGCAAATCTACAATGTTATATAGGATGTACACTTACTACTTTACATTGTAGCAGAGTGTAATTTCTTCAGTGTTGCCACATGAAAAGATATAATAAAATATTTTCAAAAATGTGAGGGGTGTACTCACTTTTGTGAGATAACGTATAATCAAGCTTACAATTGTATATTTTAATTTAATATATTTAAAGTACGGGCTTTTCTAACCCCCTTTTTCTTTCTAACACATTAGGTTTCTAGTGGAACAAAGATACCCTGTAAGGAGATGCCTTATCACACATTAGAACCTAGTATCAGGCAGTGTAAGCTCTAAATGTTTTCTTAGTCACAATTTTTTTTACAATTTCGTCTGTGAATAGGATGGGGATAAGTCTTATCTTTTCTCTGAAGAAAAAAATTGTGTATGTCTTTTTAGATTCTGCCAACAAGTAAGATGGAGTCACAATTGTTAAATTGTGAATTATAATATAAGATTGATTTTTAACTACGAAATGTCTGACATAGTACGAATAGAGAATAGACGCATGTCTTCAGCAAATTGTAGGGGCCTCGACAGAACATGCTTGTGTTTTAGGGAAGGATAAGTAGCTAAGAGCAGTGTTATGTATACTAACATGATGTTTTAGCTGCAGACTTTGATTACTCACTCTTTAATTGCATATCCTACATACAGAGTATGTGGCACACAGGGTATATAGGATACAGGGTATCCTTCATATTCACTATACATGATCAATATAAATGTAACTTACAAAGCTGAAATAAAAAAGTTACAATATACAAAGATTAGATAACATGGCTCTTAGTTATGTTAAAAGATATAAGCTGAAAATTGTTGTCCCATGTGCAACACTTTTGTATTGTATTTTCTATTTTTTGTTAAAACTACTTTCTCGTTATTATTTCATCAGCTCAATGCTTGATTTATCTTAGAAGTTCATTACATCTTTGTAACACTCCAACAGTACATATCAGCGAAAAAATGGTAGCAAATGGGAATATACATTAAAAAATAATTAAGAATTCAATTTTCAGCTATTTTAGTATCATTTCTAGCTAAGCTTAAATGATAATGAAATAGCAGAGTATTTTAATAAATGAAGTGACAGAGGCAATAACTTCTTTCATGCATTAAAATCCAAATGAAATGCAATAAAAATAGTACTTAGTAAGATTATTTACTATTTGGACACATAAAGAATGTTGTTTAGTATGTTCGTTCTTATGGCATTTTAACATTATTTGAAAATACATTTCTGTCATATTTACAGAGAGATGTATCTAAATTATCAGGCCTTCCCATTTTCTAAAAAAACAAAACATGAAAAAATCAATATGATTGAAATTGTGAGTCTGAATATCATAAAAACATTCTTTTAACCATTTCTACAAGATTCAGAATCACATATCACACAACTGGATTTACCAAAATTGAATGGATGGCATTACTAAACTGAGAAACACAAAGTATTGAAATATACTTCCACTGGACCATGTTGCTACCAGGAAGAGATACCTTCAGCTGAACACCACAAACAAGGTACATTTAAACTAAGAAAAACAACTCACCTCCATCTGTAAATTGGATTTTGGATTTGATCATCCATTTAGTAATTCTCAGATTTCATTTCTAAACACCAAGAAAACTCATTGATGAAAACTATTTCACTAAAACACATTGTTTTAGAACTTCTGTAATCTGACCTGCCTGCATGTTCTTTTATCTACAATGCAGCCTGAAGTGCAAAATCTCACACCTCACTCCTGATTCCTATAGAGCAGGGCAATGTAATGCTCCCACTGCTAACATCCCCACAAAAAACTAGAAGAAATTTGAACTCATTCACTGCTGAGGGAATGACCACCTATACTCCCTCATATCTGTATTCCCTAAGACCTCAAAAAAGTGGTCGCTTCACTCAATTCCTCACTAGTGGTTACCCTAAAATCTCTTGGCATCTTCAAAAGGGACTGACAGGGGCTGTCGTGGAGGAATATCAAAACTTAAAGTTCAATCTCCTGACACTATCACAGCTGCTCCACCTGCAAGCCCAATTAAAGTGATTCAACCGAGAAGCCACAAAAACTGCACTATCAAATCAAGGAAACCTCTTTGTGTGATCCCCATCCCCATCTATCCCCTCAATGTACCTTTAAACTATCCTCCCTGCCCCTGCCCTTTCCTTTACCTCCTTTGAAGTTCACACTGTCTGCCTTTTTAAGCCCACTCCTTTAAGAATTTACATCATCTATCGCCCCCCCTGGTCATCCTAGGCTATTCATTGACCACTTTTCTTCCTCGCTACCCCCACTTTCTCTCCTCTAGCACTCCCTCCCTCATACTTGGGGACTTTAACATCCCAATCAAAAACTTCAACTGCCCTGATGCCTCCCGTCTGCTCTCTGTAACCTCCTCCTTTGGCCTCACGCAGTTGTCTACTTCAGCAACTCATACACCAGGAAACACTCTTGACCTCATCTTCACCAATCTCTGTACCACCTCTAATCTCTCCACTGTTCCATTTCCTTTGTCTGACTACCATCTGCTAACATTTGACATCAGCATACCCTGTACCTAAATGTAACCACCCTCAACTCTCCAATCTCGCAGAAACTTCAACTGCCTTGATCTCCAGCATTTCTCCACCAAACTCCAAACTCTCCTTTTACCCATCTACATAGTTACATAGTTACATAGATGAAAAGAGACTTGCGTCCATCAAGTTCAGCCTTCCTCACAAATGTTGTTGCTGTTGGTCCAAAATAAGGCAAAAAACCTGGTCTGAAGTGCTTCCAATTTTGCCACAAACAAGGAAAAAATTAATTTTTGACCTCAAAATAGCAGTCAGATGTCTCCTTGGATCAAGCAGCTATTACCCTACTAATTAGAAATTTTTATCCCTGTATGTTATGTTTTTGTAAGTATTTATCCACTTTCAGTTTAAACATCTGTATGGACTCTGACAAAACCACCTCTTCAGGCAGAGAATTCCATATCTTTATTGTTCTTACTGTAAAAAAACCTTTTTCTTTGCCTTAGATGAAATCTCCTTTCTTCCAGCCTAAATGTGTGACCTTGTGTCCTATGTATAGCCCTGTTTATGAATAGATTTCCAGATAAAGGTTTGTACTGGCCCCGAATATATTTGTATAAAGTTATCATATCCCCTCTCAGGCGCCGTTTTTCCAAACTAAACAGATTTAATTTTTTTAACCTTTCTTCATAACTAAAATGCTCCATTCCTTTTATCAATTTTGTAGCTCGTCTCTGGACCCTCTCCAGTGCCATGATATCCTTCTTTAGAACAGGCGCCCAAAATTGCACAGCATATTCAAGGTGTGGTCTTACCAGCGATTTATAAAGAGGCAAAATTATATTTTCATCCCGAGAATTTATGCCCCTATTTATACATGACAAAACCTTACTGGCCTTAGCAACTGCAGATTGACATTGCATATTGTTGCCTAATTTGTTGTCTATAACAATTCCCAAATCCTTCTCGTGTGTGGTTATCCCTAATTCACTACCATTTAGTGTGTAAGTTGCTTGTGCATTCTTAACCCCGAAGTGCATAACTTTGCATTTCTCTATGTTAAATTTCATCTGCCATTTTAGTGCCCAGTCCCCCAATCTATCCAAATCTCTCTGCAGCAAAGCAATATCCTGCTCACATTTTATTACTTTACAAAGTTTTGTGTCATCTGCAAACACTGATACATGGCTTTCAATGCCTATTTCAAGATCATTTATAAATATGTTAAATAGAAGTGGTCCCAAAACAGAACCCTGAGGGACACCACTTACCACTTTTGTCCAGCCTGAAAATTTACCATTAATTACAACTCGTTGTACTCGATCCTTAAGCCAATGTTCTACCCAAGAACAAGAATATTCATCTAGACCAATTTCTTTTAGTTTGAAGACTAACCTATTGTGAGGAACCGGTCAAATGCCTTATCAAAATCCAAGTAGATCACATCCACTGCAACACCCTGATCTATACTTCTACTTACTTCTTCGTAGAATGCAATTAGGTTAGTTTGACATGACCATTGTTTCATAAAACCATGCTGATTATTGCTAATAACAAAGTTCTTCCCAATAAATTCCTGAATGTTATCCCTTAATAGCCCTTCAAATATTTTCCCAGTTACAGAAGTTAAGCTCACAGGTCTATAATTTCCAGGCAAGGATTTTGAACCCTTTTTAAATATAGGAACAACATCTGCCTTCCTCCAATCCTCCGGTACAATACCTGAAACAAAAGAATCTTGAAAAATTAAATATAGGGTTCACTTATTTCCTTACTTCCTAGCCTCTTTTTGGCACGCTGGGTGAATACCAGGCAGTGGCGCATTCAATGGGGTACGGGGCGTCTCGCCTCGGTGCTACCAGGGTGGGGGTGCCATGACCAGCTGCCGCCTCTATGCTGCAGCCGCCCGAGCACTCTGTAGAGAGCCTCAGGTGGTTGCAGCTTTGCCAGGGCAGTGTGTCCATGAGGGC